CATGAAAATCTAAAAGAATTTCAACTAGCTCTAAAATTTTATTGTCAAGCTCCTTGTAATCAAATTTGATGTGTATTGAATCTTCAACCATTTTGGTTTCAGAGTTATACACCATATATGCCTTTGAATGTTCATAGTATCATAAGAATATGCCCTTTTGATCTTTGGCATCATATTTCTTTAGATAGACTTTATTGTTCAAGATGTAACATGTACATCCAAACTGACGAGAATAAGAAGTATCTGGATTTATTTCTTTAAAAACTCATATGAAGCTTTTTTCAGAATAAGTCTAATATAGATTCTATTCTGAACATAACATGTTGTGTTTATAGATTTTACCCACAAGTACTTAGATAAATTGTTTTCATAGATCATGGTTCTAGCCATTTCTTGTAAAAATATGTTCTTTCTCTGTACAACTCAATTTTATTATGGAGTTCTAGAAGAGGAGAAATCATGGATAATTCCATGTTTTTCACGAAATATTTCAAATGGCTCATTTTCAAATTCTTCTTCATGATCACTTTTAACTTTTAAAATCTTTGATTTTTTTCAGTTTGTACTTGTATGCAAAAAATGTTGAACATATCATATGACTCATCTTTAGTTTTGAGAAATTTTATCCAAGTTCATCTACTATAGTCATCAACTATGACTAATTCATATTTCTTCCTATTGATTGATGCAGTACCAATTGGACCAAATAAATCAATGTGAAACAGTTCTAAGGGTATAGAGGTAGAGACAATGTTCTTAGTTTTAAAAGAAGTTTTATTAATTTTCCATACTTGGCAAGTTTCATAAAGAGCATTTGAGTGATGATTAAGATCTGATAATCCTTTAACAAGTTTTAACTTTCTATATTAGAGATTAATCTCCAGTTAGCATGACCTAACCTTCTGTGTCAGATCCACTTTTCATCACTCATTAATAGAAGTAAAAGTACCTTTTGATCAACCAATTCAGAGAAATTAATTTTATAAACATTTCATTTTCTCCTGCATTTGAACACTATAGAGTTGACAGACTCATTCATGACTATAAATTTGTTCTTATTAAACATAACTACATAACTACTATCACAAATTGACTGATGCTAAGTAGGTTACATATTAATCCATCTACTAACCAAACATTATTAAAAGAGATAGAGGAATTACCAATAGTACTAGTACTAATGATCCTTCCTTTAAGGTTTTCTCTAAATCCCATAATTTCTCCCTCTTTTAGTGTTAAGGTTTGGAACATATGCTTTTCTCATGGCATATGTCGCAAGCATCCACTGGACAGGTCCTTTAGGGTTAGCTCTGACACACTTCTTTTTAGCTTTCATATAGTAAGGTTTAGAATTATTCAAGACTTTTGGTTTAAAAGTTTGATGTCTTGAATAAATCTTAGCCTTTGGTTCTAGATCTTTCAAAACCTTAGACTTTGATGTCTTAGGTTCTGGTTTCTTCAAAACCTTTGAGTTTAGAGTTTTTGGTTCTGGGTTCTTCAGAACCTTTGACTTTGAAGTCTCAGGTTGTGATTTCTTCAGAACCTTTAACTCTAGAGTTTTAGGTTCTGATTGGTTCAAAATCATTTCTTTGTCAGCAACAGTTACAAAATAGGAATTTAGCTCTTTCTGAGCAGAGCTTGAAGAAGAAGGTTCTATTGATTTAATCAAGGTTCCAAATCTTGGATTAAAAGGTTCTTGAGAATAATCAATACCCTCTCCTATGCTCCTACTTACACCATAAATCATGGATGCAAGTTTTTTCCTGTTAAAGCTAGTTATGATAAACTCCAAAGAGCCATTTCACGCTCATTAAGAGGTTTATCAGGCATTTCTTTTACTAGAGAAATATGATCTCTTTCTAAAGGTTCATTTTTATTTTGAGAATATTTTAATTCATATTTCAATAGGTCATATTGATTTTTCAAGATTTTCACATGTCTGGCTTTTTCTTGACAACAACCCACAAGGTCTTGAATAAAAGTAATCAACTCATAACGAGATGGTTTAGAGAATACCTTATCCTCTTCTTTAGAATCCGATTCAAATTCCGAGCCTGACGATGTAAGAGCCATCAGAGCTAGATTGGCTTCTTTCTCATCTTTCTCAAATTTATCTTCTTTGTCAAGTTCATCCCATGTTTCCATGAGACTCTCCTTGAACTTGTTTCTAAAGTTGTCTTTCCGATAGCTTCCTTTCTTTGACATGTCCTTTTACAACTCTGGACAATCAACAATGAAGTGACCATGCTTCTTGCATTTGAAACATCCCTTATAGTAATCTTTCTTTTATATAGAGCTTGATCCTCTGAAGCCACTACTTCTACCAAAGAAAATTTTGTTCTTTTTAGCTAGGTACTAAAATATTTTGATTATAAAATCCATTTCTTCATCATCAGAATCTTTTTCATAAGTTTCTGAATGAGCAGCCTCTTCAGGTTCCAAGACTTTAGGAGATTTGCCAGATTTACCGACAGATTTTAAAACAAGAGATAAAGTTGGCGTCTAGTAAACCTGAAACTATTTTCCTCATTTCTTGTGCCTTCTCAGAAGATTTTCATCTATTTCATTGAATAACGTACTGGATAGAGGGGTTGATGTTTAATTAGTGCTAAGCAACACCTAGGTCCATGATTATCATCTCATTAGGATAAACTAAAAGAGGTCGTCATTTGCTTTAAGGCACTCAATGTACCTTTTCTTCACCCCCTAGACAGTGACTCAACTCCTATATAGACCGACAATGCTGGATGATCTCAATTTTTTTGTCCATAATTAGTTTTAAGTTAATCACTTTAAATTATGTCGGTGGTTCGAGCTCATCGCTTCACAATGTTTCATTTTCTCGCACATTAAGGTCGAGCATGATGATGGCTTGGCGGGTCTTCTTCTTTCTTCTCTCAAACGCGATCGTAGTCACCCGAGGGGGGGAGAGGTTCTTCAATACGAGTTTATGCATGAGGCAAGCCCCATGCAGATAGGCCTAAATGACAACTAGTTTTCAAGAATCGTGGTGATACTTCATCTTCAAATGGACTCGAGAGGACTACATCTAATATCACGAGGAACAATATCCTAAGGATGTCATTATAGACAATTTCACACGGGATCACAAGGAAATGCACATTTACGACTCTTTCGCCATTCCTTTCATAGAAAGAGGTCGGTATCATGATATTTCCACATGGAAAAGTGGAAGAATTATTGAACACTAATAGATTTCTTTCATACGACTTCAAATATTGATTGCGTAACCATAATCTCATGAATATTCTGATGTACATTAGATTACATGAGCTCCTGTCATCAATGAGGATTTTTGATGTTGAATGGTTTGCTATGGTGGTGGTTACGACCAATGAAAGTGTCGTATTATGAGTTCCATCCACTTTCTTATAGTCTTGAGACCCTAAATTAGGTATGTCGTCTTCCTGCCTCTTGTTTGCCATTTGTGAATTGAGGGAGCTTCACGTTGGAGGTTATTTCTCAAGATGATCCGTCATCGATTGAATCAACTGAAAGGAAATGGAAAGATCTTGAGGATGAGAAACCTATGGTGTTTTTGATAGCTAGATCGTTTGTCATCATCTTTTTCAACTAAACTCGCTGTAGCATTTCATGATATTTAAACCTGAGAGATTTGATCGTAGAATTCTTAGGAATTAGAAATTGATTCCTATAAACGATGTCATTTTTCTGTTAAGGTCTGTTTGAGAGTTTGTTTTTGGAGGGGAAGACTTTAAAGGTTGCATCTATATCTTGAAATGTGTTTGACATTTTTAAAAAGTTTAAAAATCAAAATGATTTTAAATGATAATGTAGTATATTATTTTTTAAAACTTTTTAAAAATATCAAATAACATTTTAAAATATAGATGCAACCCTTCAAAACCTTTCATTTCAAAACACTCCAAAGACCAATTCTTTAACATATTCTTAAGGAACTAGGAATGTATGGTGAAAGTGATAAAATAAAGTTATGGTGAAGTGGAGCAAGCTTCCCGTGCAACGATAAAGAGTGGGCTAACAAAGTTAGCACTTTAACACTTAAATCAATGAGTGAATTACAAAAGAATAGAATAAGTTTTGGTTAGAACATAACTTAGATCTCATGTAAGATACTTTATATATGAAGGATGATTAAAGACGTCTCATGTTTCTCAACGTGGAACGTGAAGAACTGTTAAATAATATTTAATGATAAGTAATTGTCCATGATATGGATTGAATATCAGTCTAAAAATAGCAAATGCATTGCCCCTTTTAACACCTTATAACTTTAGACTAATGATTGGACCTCCCATAACCATTAATAACCATTTCTAATTATATATTAGTTAATATATAACATATCTCCCTTAACCTAATATAATTTGTTTATTTTTCTATCCAATACAATTTTTGATAAAGCATTAAAACTTACTTCACTTTAAAGAAAACTCGACTTGACAATAATTAATTTTCTTATCTTAAAATTCATTCATATAATTTATTAATTTTAATAATTGACTTGATAACCATAGCTTTATCAAGTAAAAAGCCCAACCAATACTTTTATTTATGACTAGTTAACTTCATAGTCATCTTTATACAATGACATAGATATCTCTTAGAAGTAAAATATTAATATAATCCACACCACATGCACCCACCCAAAAAAAATGAATTGCTTAAACTATACTACAATAAAATAAAAATAATGTGACAGTTAGAGTTGTTCGCATGTTTAAGGAGGTGCAAGCAAGCTGTGTCTATGTGTACCAAGTCCAACAAATGACAGCTGACTTGTACTTGTCTTTCTCCACTCCTCCTCCAATCTATCTAACTACCAAACCGAACTCTCACTATTAAATAAGAAAATAAAAACCTCTCATCACGTCTCACTTGTGTCTTCTTAAATATAAATATTACTCTCTCATTAATTATTCTCATTTCTATTTTATTTCTTCATCTACCTTACCTTTGCAAATCATTACAAACTTAGTATAACAATTAACGTTGTTATGGCTGTTGGGACACTCGATTCCACCCATGTTCCAATCCCATCTGAACAAGATAAAGAAGACGATTTCATCACTGAGTTAACTCACCATATGTCTCGCTTCATTCTTCAAGAAGATAACGACGACTCATTCGATTTCACGAAACCATGGGACTTAACGGTTTCGCCCGATTCAACTCTCTGGTCACCGGTGAGTTATAACCATGGAAGCTCAGAAGGCTCATCTCAAGAACCATCACCACCAGCTACCCCTACACCATGTTGGAAGACTACAACAACCTACGATCATGTCGTGTTTGAGAATACTATTAATGTTACAAAATCGATTTACGCAGGCCGAGAATTGATTCAGGAACAAATCAAAGCCATTGAAGTAAGGAAACAACAGGAAAAAGGTAATAATGGAGTGAACCGGGTTCGTCCTCGTCCGCCAAGGTTGGCTCCATTGCAGACCGGTTTGCGCGCGGTTTTTATCGGTGGACCCGGTTTAAGAAATGGGACCGGTGTTTTTTTGCCTCGCTCTGGAACCGTTGCTCCACCGGAATCAACAAAAAAGAAAGGTAGTGTTTATTTTTGTGGATTATGTTATGTTTTGTATTGTTATGGTAAATTTGGTTCGTGTTTTTCTTTGGTTGGTTGGTAATGTTTGGTTACTGAATCAATTGGAATGCTACTTTCCGACTTTTAATATTCGAATCAGTTTATGATTTATGTCTATGTAACTCTGTTTTTAGCTATATTTTGTTTTTTTATTCCTTTCTAGGATATTTCTTGTCCCAACTCAAAACTATATGATAAATATTACCTTAGCTTTTAAGCATTTTCAACTTGATTATTCCCTATCATGCACAATTTTGAGTCCATGAGTTAATGTTTTATTTTCCATTTAGCAAGAAATATGGCTACACTTTTTTAAATAATAAAAGTAGTAAGATAGTTTGGTGAGAATAATTGAAGATTTGTTAATGTACTTTTAATTAATATATACTTTATGCCAAAACATTATGATGTTGATTTCACATCTTACACCAAAATTAATTTGTTTAATGCACGTTTTATGGTTAGGGAAAGGTTGCTCCACTGTCCTTATACCAGCAAGAGTTGTGCAAGCTTTGCAACAACACTTTGACAAAACCGCTGCAATATCTGGAGGACCCAAAGTTGTTGGCTTCCCTCCACTACGAGGTACTATATTATTATAGACATTCATACATGTAGTTGGCAAAATATAATTAATTCAGTTTAAGATATAGTTAACTCAATTATATGAACTAACCATTTTTTTTCAATTGTGAACTGAATTAACTATATTTGTTTTTGTAATTAATTAATGAGTGTAAAAAATAGGTGTACATAAAATATTTTTATGAATATCAATTTGATATATAATATTGTTATCATTATGATTTTTCAGATCTTGTTGTGAGTGATAAGGAAGGTATGTATTCACTTGAGAACCAACAGTCAACAAAAGCACCAAAAGATGTCCAAGATGATATGATTCTGCCTCAAGAATGGACATATTGAAGTTAACTTCAGTGAATTCAATACTGTAGAGCCACATGCATTTGCAAATTTACAACTAGTTCTTTGTTTACACACTCACACGAACGTGATATTGGTAATAAATCATAATCATCATTATCATTATAATAATAATGGTGATGAAAATAATTTTGTTTTGGCAAAACTTTTTACTAAACTAATGAAATAAACAAATAAAAGGAACTTCTTGCAAGAGATTCGATTCATGAATATATAGAGGGAATCTTTTTTAAGTCGCAATCAGTGTGACAAATATGTATCTTGTTTTGTAATTTGCTTCTCTCTTAAGTTGTTTTTATATGGTTTTTATATATAAGTTTGCGTAGCACGTACTCCTGTCTCTAATCGTGACAAAGGGATGTAATAAAAAATAAGGAATGAAATCTAGCATTTTCTTGTATTAAATGCTAAGCAAAATAGTTACTAGAGTATTGACTTTAGGACGGGGATGTATTTTAAAATCCTTTGTAATGATTTAGCTTGAGTAATGAAATAATCTTTGTGTGTTATATATGATTGATTATTGCAAAACTACATAAAAGGAAATAAATATGTGAATGGCAACAAGAAACTTAGAAGCTGTCAAAAGATGTAGGAGAGAAAAAGATATGCATAATTTTTATTATTTATTTTAAATTTAATGATTCAGATTTATTTTTATATTTTTTTAAAAAAAAAATATTTTTATAAGATACATTTTATATATATATATATATATATATATATATATATATATATATATATATATATATATATATATATATATATATATATATATATATATATATATATATATATATATATATATATATATATATATATATATATATATATATATATATATATATATATATATATATATATATATATATATATATATATATATATATATATATATATATATATATATATATATCTTAAGTTTTTCACACTCTTCATATGCTTTCTAGTGTGATTTTATTTTGAATAAATAAAATGACACAATTGCTATAATAACATGTTTAAGGAGTTATAATAGAAGGTCATGAGTTCAAATCCTACATTTCTCACTATTAGGGTTTTTTTATTCTCTTTTATTTATTTCTAACCTTTTGTATTAATTTCAAATCACAAAAACAGCATTTTTAAAATCATTTTATCATTAATTTTTCATATTCTTTATTAATGTATTTTTTTAAAATATTCTTTTATTAAATTCATGAATTTATGTCCAACCTTTCTTACTATTAGTACTTTTTTTTCCCTCTTTTATTTATTTCTAACTTTTTGCATTAATTTTAAATTACAAAAAATAGCATTTTTAAAATCAATTTATTATTAATTTTTCGTATTATTTATTAATGAATTTTTTAAATATTAATTTTTCATTAAAATCATGATTTTATGCATAAAAATAGTCAAAGTCATAAAATAAAAAAATCAATCAAATTATTATTATTAGCATTCGGTTTACTGTGAATTTTGATAAACAACCGCTGGTTTATCAATTTAGGGTAAAATTAACTAACTTGTAGGATCGATCATACTAAATCTTAGAACATGTGCTAAGTATGCAAAAAGACCCTAAGTTGAACTCCACGTTCGACTACGAAATCTTTTGGAAAGTAAAATGACTTGAAATTTAAAAGAAAACAAGTAATGCGTCGAAGGTTTAAAATGCAAGAATGTAAAAGTACAGTAATGTAAAAGCTTTTAAAAATAAATGACTTTGAAAATAAATGCAATAATGTAAATATGCAAAAGACTATAATCTGAACTCCGCGTTCGACTATGGACTCTTTGAAAATAAAAGCTTTTAAAAATAAATGTTGTAAGGTAAAGGGCGAGAGATTACAATCAAACTCCGCGTTCAACTATAACATCTTTGTAAAGTAAATGACGTTGAAGATGAATGTGCAAGAAAGTAAAGTGCTTTAAAAATAAATGTGCAAAAGAATCTACTCTGAACTCCAAGTTCGACTAGAGGATCCTTGAAAATAAAGGTGCAGAAAAGTTAAATGGCATGGAAAGTAAAGGAATTTTTAAGTTGCAGGAAAGCTTGTAAAACAATTTAAATGTAAAAGATGAAGGTTAAAGGGCAACAAGTAAATGGCAAGAATGAGTAAATTGCATTAAGAAAAAAGGGTTGGTGTTATATCACGTACATTCTCGCTAACTCGTTTCTCTACATACGAGTACTTTGAGTTGTAGGAGTGACTAGTACAAAAATGAATGAACACCCTTATTACATAAAAATAACACCTATTTATATTGTTAGAAAGTAACTACTTAGATGACGGTTGAGGCTTCACAACGTGTCTTTTTGGCACTTTTCTCAGTGTTCAACTTGTCCCACGTTCGCCCACTATCACTTTGAATTTAGACATTAAGGATTCCCTCCAATTTTGATAGTAACTGCCTTGCGTTCTCTTCAGCATGATCTTGGTCGAGAATGTTTCCAACACTTAGTATTTTTTAGAAACTTTGTTCACCTTCCTTCGACTTGGATTTCTTCATAGTCGTGTCGAAACCTTCACATGTGTTAAAGTGATATTTTGACTTAAGATGATTATGACTTTTACTAGCGTCGAAAATGAGAGCTAACAAGTTGCCCCCAAGAAATGTCTGTCGCTTGCGCGAAAATAAGGTGCCGGCATGACAGAAGAGTCGCCACCTTTCGTTATTTATCCCTCAGAGCGGGAAAGGAAACGATCGGAAAAACCTGATGAATAAGGGTAAGACAAGGTCGTCGCAACCATTGTCTGGGTTCGGGAGTCGGTTACGCAAGGGGAAGGTATTAGCACCCCTCACGTCCGTCGTACTCGACGGGATCCTCGCTTGTTTGTTTACTTGGACGGGTTGGTTGTAATCTATCTACCTATCAAGGTTGGCTAAAAAAGAAAAGAAAAATGACTCGGCAAAGCGTCGCGCTTTATGCCTACGTATTCCCGTCTGGAACGAGAAATCAGAGTCAACGTAGTTCGGCTAACTACGGGTGAAGGTAGGGAAGGTTGCTCGCTAGGATGTCGCATCCTATGCCTACGTACTTTCATCTGGTATGAAAGATCAGAGCAAACGTAGTTTGGCTAACTACGGGTTATCTCCTGAAAGAAGCGTTTTTTATTATGTTTGCGATTTCAACCGCACTAGAGACTATGACCTGAGAGTGAATGTGTCGCATGTCACCCAAAGGGTACCATACTAAACATCCAGACTGTGGAAAAGAAACTCTCCCACAACCCTTGCTCAGATAGCTTAAGGCTCGTAACGTACGAAAGAAATCATTCATGATTACTGTATCTTAAACTGTTTCGAGATGAGAAGAGAACAGGCCCAACTAGGAGGGAGACTATCAAGTCCTACTGTTGTCATGCCATGGATTCATCCTATGGTTGAGGTTTGAACAGGGAACTCCTAGATGTTGTCATGCATAGGTTTCAACCTAAAAGTCTATCATCAAATCCTCATCAGAGGAAATGAGAGTCCTAGGGGATCATGTCAATGATACACCAAAACAGACAAAAGCATCAGCTTTACCAGTAAAATGCATGCTATGCAAGTGAGGGAGGAAAGGTGTGTGGGGCTTCAGCCTCCACAAGCTCGTCTCGACCTCAAGCCAGTCATGAAATAACAGTAATCATACTGAAAATAAACAACTTGCTATCAAGCACCAAAACAGTAAACTGTAATCATACAGACAGAAAATGAAATCATGCTATCAAGCAAAGTAAACACATGGGCAAGGGAGCTGGTCTCTACCGAATACCCGCAAGCAAAGCCGAGCAATAACAATACAATCAGATGCACTCATGCTCTTAGACTGAACTTATTCTAAATGTGCTTAGTCTAATGCAGCAGACAAGTCAGACAAAACACACAATACATCAAAGAAACAGAAGAAAGCCTCAGCTCCTCCATCAATAACCCAGTCCTCAGACTTCAGGGATCACTTGCTTTCCAGGTATCAACCCTACAACATGAGTATCAACTCATCTTCTCCCTTGAGCTTCAGCTCCTTTGATCAGCTCCATCTTCAGGCTTCACTATCTTCAGGGATCTTCAGGCATCAACTTGATCTTCACAAAGTCTTCAAACTTCAACAATCTTCAAGGAATCATCCTCTTCAAAGCTGCAGCTTATATCTTCAAGGGCTCAAATGCTCCAGCAAACAAGATTCAGTCAACAAGATGAGGTGAGGTGAGGATGTTACAGTACTCACTGACTTCCAAAGGATGCCATTGAGGACTTAACATCAAAGGGAAAGGCTCTCTCAAAGTTCTACCTCAGAGGGTAAGGTCACTAATCCCTCCAAAGGAGAGAGGTGAATACCCTTAAGGGACTCTATGTCACAGAGAAGAAAGGAGGTGAACAAGACACTCCTTGTTTATTGAACAAAGTATTCTATCTAGGGCTCTGCCTATGCACCTATAAACCTATAAACAAAACAACAAAAGCTATGCTAAACTCCTCTGCAAGGTCTTCAAAGCTTCAATGATGATCCACAAGGTCTTCAATTCAATCCTCCAAGCTCACACACTCAAAGGAGAAGGAAAGAAAACACAACAATACAACTTATGCCTTTAAGCAACACACATACTATCCATACATTCAAAAATCAATGAAAAATACTAAAACACCATACAATATTCCAACAAAATTCTAGGGGATTCTATACATACTTACCCTTAACCCATGTATTCCCCATACACTAATTTGGCCTATAAACCCCAAAACAAATTTGTTCAAGTCTACCTATACAACCTAAAACCCTAATTAGAGCACCTAAATGTCTAACCATCAAACTACATCAATTTTTAATCTACAAATCAAGAGATGAATCCTACATGAAACTAGGGTTCAATATCTAACTATGCCAAAAAGAATGGCTCAAAAACCCTAAGGGAAAGTCCTAAAATAAATTCTACAAAATCATGCACAAAATTAATCCCATTTTAAAAGCTATTTAAAAGAAAAATCTACTAAAATATGAAAATAAAATAAAA